GTAATGCATATAGCGTCCGCTCAAGCTGCTCGATCTTACTCTTTCTGTTATAGAGCAGGGCGCGAAGGTCACCGCACACTATAACTCAAACAATCAGACCCTACAACCCCTAATTGCGCGGTACGGCGCGGATAAAGTACAGGCTCTTCAGGCAAACTTGACTCTCGAGGGAGACGTGGCGCGGCTTTTTATTGAGGCTTCCGCGTCGTTTGGGACCGTCCAAATTATCATTGTTAACCATGGTGTTTGGCCTATTGAAGATCAGCCCGTGGTCCAGATGTCACTCGATCAGTGGAGATCCACACTGGACATCAACCTGACTTCCTCGTTCCTAGTCTGCAGGGAATTCTTGAAAGGCTTGCAGGGCGCTTCAGATAGCGTGAAGGACTATGCCTCAATTCTTTTCATCGGAAGCAGCTCTGGCAGATTTGGTACGAAAATAAATGACATGCGCCACCTTCGTACCCAGGAACTGATTTATGTCTTATGATAGGCGAGGCGGGTCATGCAGATTACTCGGCTTCGAAAAGCGGTATGTGGTTGCATGAATCAATGTTGGGCACGCAAATGATAGTCATAGCCCTGATGTACGGCTTCACTCTGACACTCAAGAATGAAATCGTCAAAATAGCGCCCAAAGGTCGCGTCAACTGCATTGCGCCGGGTTGGGTTAAGACGGTGATATTCTTTCCTAATTGACCCTAGGGTTTTTAACAAGGGATTTACGTCGACTTATAGCCCATGGCTGAAGAGGCGTTGAAGGATCCGGACGTAGTGTACCGTGCAATGGCGACGTGAGGGTGATTTGTAGATCTCGCTTGTATATAAAGCTGACATCTTGCGATCCGTCAGGACTCCGATGAAGAAGGTTGGCTTGCCAAGTGACATCGCAAACCAAGTTGTGATAATTTCTTCACCTCGTGTGTCTGGCCATATAACGGGAGAGGTCATCATGATTACCGGTGGGCTGGAAGGCGAGCTATTATATTGATTGACAGTATTGCACCCTTTCTGATACTGTACTTACAAGGTCGGCTCCTTAACCTTCCCCAGGACATATAATAATATCGAGGGTTGAAAGCTATGATGAGCTCGCAAAACCGACTCGTTGTAATCTGATGCGCCATTCGCATAAACATACGACAGAAACTCGTCAGATAGCGTTATGGAAAGAACGAATGATATCGGCCGCTGAAAAGCACGAACGTTGAGTGATCGTCCCTGCGGAGTTCGACGCCACACACACCTTTTTCGGAGATCATATACGCTGTGGCTATAGCGGCATTAGAATGTCGGATAACAAACAGGAGGACTAATTAAACTAACCTTGCGTGTGCGCAGCGATGTGAAGTGGGATGATAGATAAATCGACGACGCGAACGTTGGCCGTACCATACACCTGCAATTTTGTGACATCAACCGTCTTCAAGCTTCAATGATATTCATTTTTTGTTCGCACCTTGAGGAATGGGTCGACGACTCCCTGTTTGTCCCTTGATAGCATTGAACACGTTCCGACGCCATCTATCCAGGCACCTTCAATGATGGCGTTGTGTGGCAATTGGATATAAATCCTTACGCCAGGCGCTGCGGTATCCATTCTTGATAAATTCTACCCTTCAAGTCAACACCTAGCGTTCTACAGGAAAAAAGAAGGTAGACCTCGTATTTCGTCATCAGTAGTACAGTCGAGCCCAGGATCCACCTCTTGGACGATCCCAGACTTGATTTCGGCCATCTGGCGAATATACTTGAAGGTCTCGACCAGGATACCTGGATCTACGATAGGGTGAGGAGTGCAAGTGGGCATTGAAAAGCTGTTCGCACCTGATTCTTTTTCGAAGAAGTGAGGATCGATTTCAAGGTCGTCTCGTGGATCATCAGACTTGGCCTGCTGATGTTGGCGTGAAGTGAGTGAAGGGGAAGGCGACGTGCATGAAAGAACTGACAATAGTTCCGCGTGACAGAGGGTGGTTGAGTATCCCCAAAAGAGACACATACTTCTTCCCTGGCGCGGGCGCGACTGTAAAGAGCGAGATGAATCTAGACATAGAGACACATTCTCTAAGAAGAAATCGACTAACATGCAGTAGAGAAAAGACTAGGGAAACCTCGGCGTTGTAGTATTATATTTCTCGATCTCGTTCCCCAGTTTCTTCGCCAAAAAAAAACAGCGCCGGGTCCTTTGACGCTCGATAAAGGGAAATAAGTAAAGGAAGTTAGCCCTGTTCTAAGGAGACCTTTCCCTTCGCCGCTGTGAATCAGGATTAGCAACTCGCAACTTCATAGAGGCATACTGTTTTCGAAAGGCCTCCTTGGCATATTCTGGATCCTGGAGCAAGTCGAGGGTTTCATGCTTCACGACTGTACTCAACTCGTACGAAAGTCCGAAGAAGACGTGCTCCTGTAGATTCTCCGCGACACCTGGAAGATCGAGTTTTGTGTCAACCCCAATCTTGACAAGTGGATCGCAACGGCCGACTCTCGAATTTGCGGGTTCTTCACTGTGCTGTTTCAAACGATATTGAGCGGAAAAGTCGGGCCAACACAATATCATACCCTGTACTGAGGACGACCTCTTTCTGTACATTGACGATATGCTTTGTTCCTTGATGAATAAATTCCACCCAGCTTGCGATTAGTTCCTGATCGCCACATGTGGCAGTCGTACCGTAAGATTTGGCCGATCTTGAGCAGGCAAAAGGTATGCCGTGGTCGAGTACGAGCGGGGCCATGTATTGCAATCTAGGTTTGCAGACGCAAACCACGTTCCGTTGATCTAGTAGAAGTCGATCGTCCGTCAACGAAAACATCGTTCAAAGCATAGACGCCTCACATCACCGTTGTATGGATCATCAATCACCGGAATCCCCATGTTTACGAAGGTCTCTTGCAGAATTGCGTCAACGGTGTGCACATGGGGTGGAATGGTGAACTGTATCGGTCCTGATTTGCCTCGAACGGCGGCATTGTATGTATGAGGAAACACATCAGTTTTTTCCTTGGCCGGAGGATGAAAGCTAGAGGGTCGAACGTTAGTGCGATCCGACGTAGATCAACAAGACATACCTCTCGCTTTTCTTGAGTAATGGGCATATTCCTCCCAGTTCCATCCTGTATTGCCCAATTTTTCAAACGCATCGATGTCCCCAGCGGGAGGCTTAATCCATGCGTAGAAGTTGATGGACGAAGTGCTACCTATATTCTATGAAGATGAGACGAGTTCAAGCGTGAACAGTAATGAAAGATGAAAGTGACCTAGGCCCTTCCCCCGAGCCCACAGGATTTCACGATTGTTTGAATGTTATTGCTTGGTCGTGTGAAATGACCAATCTTACTGCCGTATAGCTGACAGTCAATTACAGGCAACGGCAATGGAGAACGTTCAAACGTACTTCGGTCACCGACGGTCAGCCTAAACTGGCCTGGAATTGCAATGTTGGGGTCACCGATGGTATTGTCGTCAGCCTCAAGCACCAGCACGGTGATCGTAGGATCATCAGAAAGACGTGCAGCTAAACTCATCCCCGCGGTCTGTTTAAAATTATAGTAGTCCTCAAGCAATGAAAAATAATGAGGTTCCATCAGTTCATACACCACCGCCAGCGATGATGACTTCAAAGGCTTCATTGGACACATCGGCGTAATTACTTGTGGTGAGGATGGAAGATTGATATCGACGGAAATGCCGAAAATTAGGACAAGGGCAAGCCGACGCCTGTCATCTGGATCGTGCAGACTGAGATAAGCCGCAGGAACAAAACCCAGTTGATTGACTTCTCAGCTCTTTCTCGCTGGCTCCGTTATAGCACCGACGCCACGGTAGAAGCAGGAGCTTGCATGGAGAATTGCGCTGCAGTGCTCTAGCGCTGCTAGGTGACTAGTGGAGAGCGCACAAAGTCCCGCAACTGGGCGAAAATGCGAACCTGATAATAGTAAATTTGGCCAAAAGTTGGAAAAGCTTCATGCGTTATGTAGTACGATTTCTCAAGTGATTTGAGCATGAGGACTGTCCAGGACTCCAGGTGAAGTTTCAAGTTTGACAGTGACACGGAAGCAAAACGACGTAGTCACTCAGTCACATTTTTCGGCAACACGTGATACCACTGATCGTGTTCGTGACTGTGACGAATGTGATGTCATGCGCAGAATACTCCGAGCGCGTCATTGCATAAATCCGAGCTATATAGATGCGGCATGCCCACATTGAACATTCTGAATCTTATACCGCTACCACTCCTTCATACTCCTCTTACAATAACCTTGATATTTTTGAGTCATGGTATGTCGGGCTAAAACAACTACAAGACCAGGGCGTGATTAACCACCATTGGACCTTCCTTTGAAGGGCGCAATATTCTCTTCAATTAGAGGTTGCATAGGCTCCATAGTCTCTGCAATTGGAAGTGTTATCATGATAATTGTCGGTGCAATTGTGACGGTAGGCCACACACAGCATGAATTATTCCACAGGCAAACATTGATTTAATGTTGGCCGCGTTCGAAATCTCAGGTATTCACAACGATATTCGACATTATCTATGATATCCTCTGCTGCCATTGCTTCGGGGCCCGGAGATCAGGCCGTAGATTCGGACGAAATCGCAGGGGCGTTGGGACGGGGGCCGGGTCATACTAAGCAGCAGCGTCCGCCGGGCTATGATGTACGAAATCGCCACGCCCACGACTTCATCAATATACCCACTAGCCAAATAGTTCTCAAGTACATTCTAATGTATTGTATCTGACCCTCGTAATGTATCTACTATCTCAAATAGTGCACAATATATACGCAGATGCCCTCAATGAAATCCACGTACATCACTACTTACTTCAAGTTCCATGAGACTGCTGGGGCTGTGAGTCGAGAGCAGACCCTCTTAGCAAACTCGCCAGGGAAATCATGCCCAACAATAATCCGTTCGCTCGACGATCCTGCCGTCCTCTCGCTCTCATCTGGTAAGTCCACACCAATCGATATCCGCCCCCCTATTCATCAAGCCGTCGTAGTACAATGGTAGTACATTGCTTTCCTAAGGCAAAGGTTGTGGGTTCGAGCCCCATCGTCGGTTCTTTTTCATCCCCGAAAAATGCGCTTTTGTTCGCCCTGCGTGTTTACGTACCCAACGTCCCAAGACGAAACATAATGATATTTTGACGGAAAAGAGGTATTTGGAGGTGGAGGTTGCGGGTTCAGGTAGTATATGCAGGTTGCTGAACCACAAGTGCGCTCGTTCCTTGATCGACAGGTGGATGCATGCTGGAAGGTTGCCACGATGCTTGCCAGGTCTTTTTTGACCGGGTAGTATGTCGTTCGAAAATATGCACGACGGCCTCGTTTAGCCGCCAATTAAGGGTATGGACCGAATCCAAGCGAAAGTTAACGAGGCTTGACATGGTCAGGTAATCCGCCATGCTCTCTCCCTCAGTCACCTATCAAAGTCAAAAGACCACAGAGCGTCCACCCATAAATTAACGGAATTAAAATACATCACACCGGGACTTCCCTCCCGTCAGCGGGTCGACGGTGACACACCGTTCAGCCGCTGTGGCTCCAACACCGAGTCCTGCGGATCCACTGGGGGACGTCGGCGGGGATCCGAGGGCGGTTGTATATTGGCCTGCTTCGCCGCATCTACATCCATGTCCATCCCATGCCCCTGCTCGACGGGAGACGATTCTTCCCGAGGACTCCTCGAAGCAGACCCCTCCCCTCTGTCGACATCATCTTCATCGGCGTCTTCCTCGTCATCGGTCCCAGAGCCAGCGTCGAGGTCCGCCATCACCACGTCACGGCCCGCTGCAGAATTTGGCGTATCCTGAAAAGTAGAAGATGTTCCTTGTATTGAGGTGGACGAAGAAATTGGTCGCTCTCGTTTGCCGGCAGATTTCTCTAGTTTCCGCAGAATCTTGGCTATGTACTCCTTGGCGAATTTCTTGATCTTCACGACCTTTTCGTCCGAGAGCTTGTCAAGTCTCCCCTCCTTGTAGCTAGAAGACTTTTTCTCCTTGTCGGCAATGATCTGGGTGAGCTGCGAGAAAATATGAGTCGCAGAAGTAAGAGGCGTTGCAATGATAATGCACCTCCTTTGCATGCTTCTTGAACATGTCGTGGTCTAAAGCTTTCGAATGTTTCGACATGCATTTCACCACGACGGCACCCACAAGCTTTAAGAGCCTCTTCTCCTTGTTCGCATTCTTCTCCTCGTCGGTATGGGTCTTTTTCGGAGGCTTTGACTTCTTGCGGTAGGTGCCATTGGCGATCGCAGCTGCCTTGGCCTCTGCTTTGGCCAACAAAGCCGCCTCCGCCGCTGCCGCTGCCGCCGCTTCTTCCGCCGCCCTAGCGGCTTCAGCCTCCGCCGCTGCCTCAATGACCGCTCGGATGGAGTCGCGTGAGAATTCGCTCTTGCCCAGACGAAGTTCAGATTTTCGTTGCATTGGCATTGTTGGCAGTGGTGGCGGCTTCGGCCTCGGTTTTGATCCCATGTCCCAAACCCCTCTATTCCCAGACAGATACCTGGGTTGAATCCACGCTTTCCCGGCGGTTACGAGCTCCATGGGCATATTGGAAGCGCTAAAAGGATAATCGGGTTTTGACCGTTTCGAAGGACGATCACCGTCGTCGTCGTCGTCACTGTTATAGCGGGGCGAAGCTCCACCGTCACTCCCCTCACCGTCCTATATTCAGGATGAGCTTGGGAAGTGAATCATGGGTTGGGTGAACGTACCTTTTTCACGCGCTTGGGTATTCGATTATACAGAGGTAGCGATTGCCAGTGATCGACGAGCTAAGTACATACGAAGATTGAGAACGATAGCATGTTAAAGAACTTAGTCAAATACCGTTTGCGCGAGATCCTTGCATGGGGAATCTTCCAAGTCCGCGATAGCTTTGACAGACACAATTACGCGCGAATCCTCGACCTTATTGCGGTTCATCAACGGCCACGTTGTCATGCATTCGAGAGCCTACGATGCGCAATAGATGGGTGAGAGTTGAAAGGTGATAACTCTGTCCAGACGCACCAGCGGAATGAGCTCGGTATCCGTACTGTGATCGTCCAGGATGTTCGTCATTAGACTGTACCCACGCAGCCGCATGATTTGCCGGAGCGCAGCTTGGTCCTCGGTCATCTGGTGTTTCAGTCATTTAGAGATGATCGCGCCTAGTCGGAGAGCAGCGCCTACCTTGACACGCGTGAGCAGCTTGTACAACACCTTGCGGCTTTGAGTCTGCCGTATAGCTTGAACAACTTTCGGAACCTCCTTCTCCACGATAGCATGCATCGTCGGCTGGCCAGGTTTAACTATTTCGCTGTCAACATAGTGGACGGACGAGCCTACCATAAAGTCTGGGTCGTCGATTTTCTTCCCCTTCTTCTTCTTGCTTCCTTTGAGTTCCATCAGGTCCGCTTCGTCCGTAATTCCCAGTGCTGGATGAAAATCAGCTTTCTGAGACCGGCAATAAGAGCACGAGTGGCGTACCATCGAGATAAAGATCATCCATCGTCACGACATCTGTCTGCGTCTTGCCTCCAATGAAACCAACGCAATTGTCTTCGCCACAGTAACACGTCTGGGCCTGATGGCTATGACGATGGCATCAAGTCTCGTAAGAAAACGAAAAGAGGTGTTCAACACACCCATATCTGTCAACGTTATAGTTGAAGGTCAACTCTTCGTGCCTCTTGATGTTGCGCTTGGCAAAGATGCCCATTCGAACATGATGCCCGACAGTCCATTTGGCGACATAACAGTTGGGTCTGCAGCTATGGTTGGCAAAGCGGCCAATGCCACCGCTCTTGGTTGCGTCGATGAACTACAAGGAAGAACACGAGGTATCAGTAGAGTCACCAGCACCAGTCCAAAGGATACGCACCTCGTCCTTCTGCAACATCATGAAATAGAAGTGTTGGATCCCCTCCAACGCATAGTCGCGCATACGCTTCTTAAAAGAGTTTGGATTGACCACGTCGCCTACATATTCGTAGATGAAGGAATCCCTGCGCCGATGTCAGGAGTTGTATCAAAAAGAAGGGGAAAAAAACTAAACGTACTTGGGCAAATCACACTCAGCCCGCAACCCGAAGCCCTTCATCTCCGTCTGAACGATCTCGATATCAGAGTACTGGCGGTTTTGGAATCTGAAAAGAGCATCAATGGGCTGCGTCTCCTAGCATACGTAATACTATGCTCACCGTTGGTTCTGGCAGTAAGGTCCACAGCGGCAGTCATCGGGGAGGCACTCAACCTGAGTTAGTCGGTTGATACAGTCAGAATTTGCCCCACAAGCGTCATCTGGGTCATCTTGTCCTGTTGGAAGGCGAAATTTTGATATTCAGATTTTTTGTGTCAGGGGATGCCATAGAGCGCTGGCAACTCGAAAAGGTGGAACACTGACTAGGGTTAAAAGTACAGTCGCATGTCATGCTCTCCAACGCCTCTCTCGAGCGTCCCAGCGACTTGAATTGATAGTTATTCTGCTCAATCTCATTAAAGGTTGCAAGTGCGTCCTCCCGTGCAATCGGAAGGTCACCGATGAGCTGCACAGCTGACGCCTGAGACTTCTTCGAGCCTGTCGTTGGAGTAGGTATAGGCGGAGGCGTCGACGACATGGATTCTGTCCCATTCGTCGTGGAAGGGGGAGGCGTAGGTGTAGGTGACCTCTTGAGTTTTGTTGGTGTGAGTTCGTCATTCAGAGTCGGCGACTGCGACTGCGACGGCCAAGGTTCGTGCTCCAACTTTAGGTCCTCCTTGACGTCGGTGTCGTGGAGAAGAGATGGCGACAGACGCTTCTCCCTCTTAAGTGCATCCTCCACCTTGACTTGGTCGGCCATGCTTGGTGATGGTGGATGTAATGGGAAACTTGCACGGTTCTGAGGGTCCCTTGAACTTCCTGATGATGGGCTCCTTGTTTCCTCCTCCTCCTCCTTGACTTCCCACCGGCTGGACATGCCTGTATATAGATAGTCTCCTAACGCAAGAGTTCAAGAGTGTCGACCACCAGGAGATGTTTGACTGACTGAGTTATGCAGATTACGCGACGCGAGCTGCCCTGAGCTGCCTCGGCGCGGTGAAGTCCTATAGTCTCTAAAAAGCAAAGAAGATAAACGAGGGGAATAATTCAGATAGCAGGAGTAGAGGGCGCTGGGCGGCAGTCAGGCGTGAGCGCCAATGCACATGGCTCACGAAAAGCCACAAACATGTCACCCAACATTAATAAATTTCTTTCTTCGTTTCACCACTGAAACTGGCCACATTCCCTGTTCCCTCGAGGACGGTGCACATAACAGCTGGAAGGTTCAATTTTGCCTGAAATCATGCCGACGGCCAAATCTGCGTCTAAAAAGCGAAAACGCGATTCGATATCCTCGGACGGTGTGATCTTGAAACTATCTACACCGACGCCAGGTGCCGTTGGGCCTCTCCTCGGTACGTTCGCGATCCTCAATTTCTGAAGAACTGAAAACCAATATCCAACTGGATAGTGAGTTATCCGTCACTCCAGCCGCCGCCATCGACCGCCTTCCAGTGCTATGCGAAGAAAAAAGCTAAAAAGGACGGGAATGAAACTGAAAAGGACGGGAAACTCGATGAACAGGACCTTCTGGTAGTCGGGGAGACAGAAAATGTGGAATTCATCTCAAACGAAGCTGAAAGTCGGGTGGTCGCCAGCTCTGGATGTCGGTGCGTCGAATGGCCTATTCCTCATGAATAAATGCCTATAAGTAATTCCTTTATCTTCAGATATCTTGTCGCGATACACAACAAGCGCACCGGCGCGCTGAGCGTCCTGCCAACACCAAAATCACCATATATTCTGACGAGGACCGTGAAAGCCTTGAAGAGCATCCCCGCGTCCGCCGCACCTACACAGCAAGAGTATCTACTGGCCAAAACCGCTCTCGGGGAAACGTTTGGGACGAAGAAGGCCAAGGCCAATATTCGGGCGCAGGAGCGCAACAAGGTGGACGTCAGGGCAATGCAGGGCGTCATGGACCACTTGCAGCAGGGTATTGACAAGGGTGCGGTCGGACTTATGACTGCAGGTGCGTGTTTCCTTCCAGTGGTA